ATGTTAGGTCCACTGGTCCAATGTGCCATTCAGGATACTGTTTCCCGTTAACTTTCTGTCTGGATGGCATATACATTGATGTAAGTGTTGTGTTAAAGGCCCCTACCATTATTGTATTACTGTCAAATTCTTCGTTTAGGTCTGTTAGTAATTGCTTTATATATTTGGATGTTCCAATGATGGGTGCATAGATATTTACAATTATTAACCCTGTTTTTAAATTTTTCCCTTTATCATTATATGATGCCCTTCTTTGTCTTTTGTTACAGTCTTTGTTTTAAAGTCTGTTTTGTGGGATATAAATATTGCTGCTCAGGCTTTTTTTCCACTTCTGTTTGCATGGAACCTTTTTCCATTCTTTAAATGGTCTAAAGTGAGCCTCTTACAGGTGGCAAATGGATAGGTCTTTTTTTTTTTTTTTAATCTGTTCATTTACCTTGTATCTTTTGATTGTAACATTTAGTCCTTTTATATTAAAAGTAACTATCCATAGGTATCTACTTATTGCCGTTTTTTGTGCCTTATTTTCTGGTTCTTCAATATTCTTCTCTTGCTCTTGTGGTTTGATGGCCTTTAGTATTATGCTTGGATTCGTTCCTCTTTTTTTGTGTTTTCCTATTTATTATAGGTTTTTGATTTGTGGTTGCCATTAGATTCCTATATAAAATCTTATGGGTGTAGCAGTTTATATAAAGTTGATGATTGCTTAAGTTTAAACATATTCTAAAAGCACTAAATATTTACTTCCCCACCCTTGTTTTATGAATGTCATATATATATATGATATATATATATGAATATTTTTTTTTAAAGTTTATTCATTCATTTTGAGAGAGAGAGAGAGAGCAAGAGCAAGAGGGGCAGAGAGAGAGAGAGAATCTTAAGCAGGCCCTACACTCTCAGTGTAGAGCCCAGTGTGGGGCTCGAACTCCCAAACCGTGAGGTCATGGCCTGAGCTGAAATCAAGTCAGACACTTAACTGACTGAGCCACCCACGCACCCCACGAATGTCATATTTTATGTCATTTTATTTATGTGTATCCCTTGACTCATTTTGTATATTTTACTACTTTCATGTGTTTTTTTACCTCCATACTGGTTTTATAAGTGATTTACCTGCCTTTATTATATGTTTGCATTTATCTGTGAAATTTTTTCTTTCATAATTTTCTTATTATTATGGCCTTTTCTTTCCAGTCAGGATTCCCTTCAACATTTTGTGTAAGTCAAGTTTGGTGGTGATAAACTCCTTTAACTTCTGTTTGTCTAGGAAACTCTTTATCTCTCCTGTTCCAAACAGTTCTGTTGCTGGGTAGAATATTCTGGTTGCAGATACTTTCCTGTAAGCACTTTGACTGTATCATGACACTACCTTCTGGCCTGCAAGTTTCTGCCAAAAAGTCAGCCAGTAGCCTTATGGAGTTCCCCTTGTATGCAACTGTTTTTTGCTCTTGCTTTTAAAATTCTTTTAATAATTAACATGGCAAGGGGCACCTAGTTGGCTCAGTCAGTTGAGTGTCTGACTTCCGCTCAGGTCATGATCTCCCAGCTCGTGAGTTCGAGCCCCGCATCAGCCTCTGTGCTGACAGCTCAGAGCCTAGAGCCTGTTTCAGATTCTGGGTCTCCCTCTCTGCCCCTCCCTCACTCATTCTCCCTCTCTCCCTCTCTCAAAAATAAATAAACTTTAAAAAAAATTTTAAAAATAACATGGCAAAAATGATGTAGGGAGGTGTGGACTTCCTTGGGTTCATCTTGTTGGAGGGTCTCTGCTTCCTGTATATGGATGTCTGTTTCTTTCAGGTTATGGAAGTTTTCAGCTGTAATTTATTCAAATAAGTTTTCTGCCCCTTCTTGCTTCTCCTTCAGAGAACTAATGTTATTATGCCTGATGAAATCGTTGAGGGAAATGAAATGCTTTCCATTTCCCTGTCTTCCAGATCACCAGTCTGTTCTTGTGCATCCTCCATTGTGTCGTTGATTCCCTCTAGCATGGATTGAGTTCTTCATCTCTGATTGGTCGTTTTTATATTTTTTCTCTGTCAAAGATCTCAGGGATCTTCTACTTTTTTTTTCTCCCAAGTCCAGTGAGTATCTTTATGGCCATTACTTTGTATTATCAGGCATATTGTTTATCTCCATTTCATTTAGCCTTTTTGCTGTGATTTTTTTTTCCTTGTCCTTTCATTTGGAACATAGACAAAATGAGGAGACGGGACTAACTCTCTGTGTTTATTTCTGTGTATGAGGAAGGTCTGCTTCCTGCTCTTGAGAGAAGTGGCCTTGCGAAGGGAAGTTTGTGGTGCCATGTAGCACAATGCCCCTTGGTCACCAGAACCAGGCACTCCTGGGATATCTTCTCTGGGGGCTGTGCACACCCTACTGTTGTGGCTGAGTCACGTTTGCCTTTAGTCCAGTTGGCTGCAATAACCTATTGTGTGTGCTGTGGGCACACCGTGCTGGGTTTGGTCACTGCATGCTTGTATGTGGGAGGTGTCTGCACCTACTCTGCCCTAGCTGTGGGCCCACCAGAGGGCAGAACACTCTCCCTGTGGGGCTCCCTGAGAGGCTTTCTTCGGAAGGGGTGAGCAGCCATACTAGATGTCTATACCCAGTCTTGTCTGCTGTAGCTGTAGGCTCACCAGGTGCAGGGCACCCTTCCTGGGTGGTCAGCTAAAAGGTTTGGCTGCTGGAACTGTGGGTGTGCTGGTGTATGGGGTTATCTACCCCTCGATCCAAGGGAGAGTCACTTGGTTCCTGCCCAGGCTGCTTGCAGGATGTGGTGGGGCAGGAGCTGCATTTGGGGAATGCCTGTCGAGTTGTGGGAGGAATTGTACGGGGTGGGTCTGCAGGTGAATGTGGGGGTGGGGCAGGTGGTTCTAGCAAAATAGAAGGAGAATGTACAAGTTCGCACATGTATCTGGCTATTTAAGCTGGGGGAGATGAAGGGAAGTGGTGCCTGCCTTCACTTTTGTTCTTGGAGAAGTTTCCTGAAGATGTGTCATTGCACCACATGTTTTGTGATAGTAAATAAATCTATCTTTCCACATATACCACAGGCACTTTTCAAGCTACTGCTTCTATGCTGTGTCTAGGCTGCGATATTTATTATGGGTTACTTATTTTGGGTTGTTTTAGGGTAGAGACTGTTTCCTGTTGTCCTCCAGCTCTTCCAGAACTAAGCCTGCTCATTTTAAAAGTACCTGGGGTTAAACCCCACTGATTTTAAAAGCTTGTGAAGTTAAGCCCCACTCATCTTCAGGGCCAAATGTTACAGGGACTTGTCTTCCCGGTGTGTTTCCACAATGCCTAGGGTACATGGCACGGAGCCTGATCATCTCACTTCTCCATGCTTGTGGTGACCTTCCTGTTTGTGGTGACCTTCCTGTTTGTGGTTAGTCTCACCAGAGGGCTTTGGTTCCCAACTGCATGTCTGCCCCTTTTACCCTTTTGGTCTGGTCTCTCTCTGATTAAGCTCTGTTCTGCCAGACTCTGGGTCCTTGTTCAGTTCGTTGCACAAATGTAGCTGTTGGCTTGGTGTGTCTGTAGGGAAGGTTGAGCTGAGGATCCTCCTAGTGTGCCATCTTCCAGCTCTCCCCCAACTCCTGTTATTTCCTTTTCTGTGAACAGATAGCATTGCCTTATATTCAGAAATTTAAACAATTACAAAAGGAATTTGAAGAAAAACCATTTGAAAATTACTTGCAGACATGATGAACCCTTTTTCTTAAACATTTCAGTGTGTGTTCCTTTAATAAGGGGGATACTCCCTAACATAACTACAGTTATAAAAATCAGGAAATTAATGGCGATATATTACCTAATATAGTGGCCTTACGCAAATTTTGAAGAATAGATCCAAGATCCAATCTAGGATCAAACATTGCACTTAATTGTTATTTCTCATCAATTGTCTTTAATCTGGAACTATTGCTTAGTCTTTGTCTTTTATGATCTTGCTATTTTTGAAGAATGTAGGCCAGTTATTTTGTAGTATGTCCCTTGATTTGGGTTTGTCTGGCTTTCTCAAGATGAAAGTTACATAGGGACATCTGGGTGGCTCAGTTGATCGTCTGACTTTGGCTCAGGTCATGACCTCATAGTTTGTGGGTTCAGGCCCTGCATTGGGCTTTGTGCTGACACTCTCTGCTCCTTCCCCACTTGTGCTCTCTCTCTCTCTCAAGAATAAGTAAACATTTAAAAAAAATTTTTTTTGAGAAAACAAAAGATTAGAGTTACATTTTTGTCAGGAATGCCAGACAAGCAATGTCTTTCAGTGCATCATAGGAAGAGGTACTTGATACCTTTTTGTCCCATTGGTGATAATAAATTATATCACTTGATAGTGGTAGACCATTATAAAGAAGGTTTTCCATTATAAATGCAGGCATATCGGGGCGCCTGGGTGGCACAGTCGGTTAAGCGTCCGGCTTCAGCCAGGTCACGATCTCGCGGTCCGTGAGTTCGAGCCCCGCGTCAGGCTCTGGGCTGATGGCTCAGAGCCTGGAGCCTGTTTCCGATTCTATGTCTCCCTCTCTCTGCCCCTCCCCTGTTCATGCTCTGTCTCTCTCTGTCCCAAAAATAAATAAACGTTGAAAAAAAAAATTTTTTTTTAAATAAAAAAAAAATAAATGCAGGCATATCACAGAGATATTGCAGGTTTGGTCCTAGACCACAGCAAAAAGGCCAGTCAGATGAATTTCTTGTTTTTTTCCGGTGCATATAAATTATGTGTTTATTTTACCATGGTATATTAAGTGTACAACAGCATTATGTCTAAAAAGGCAGTGTGCATACCTTAATACTTTATTGCTAAAAAATGCTAATCATCTGAGCTCATCATAATCACTGATCACCATAACAAATGATGAAACAAATCATGAAATAATTTTTTTTTAACATTCTCCATATTCACTCAAATTCTCTCAATCAACCCTTAAACTAAAGGAGGAACCTGTTTGAAAGTTTTTTTTTCAATCTTATTTTTAAATGTTATTTGGTAGGATCCGAGGTGTTGGAACAGCAGCTATTAATATGTGCCTTGTGGCAACTGGCGTTGCAGATGCATATTATGAAATGGGAATTCACTGCTGGGATATGGCAGGAGCTGGCATCATTGTTACTGAAGCTGGTGGAGTGCTAATGGACGTGACAGGTAAAATGATGGGACGCTGAAGCATTTTTCTCTCTGTTGGACCTTCCTTTAGTTACAGCTTTTTTCTTTTAATGTTTAACATATACTATACTTCACCTGTTGAAGGCAAAACAAAAACAAGCCATGTGATTTTCTGCCAAATCAGGATATCAAATTTTGACAGGCAAGGAGGATAAAAAGCTAATTGTAATGTGGGACTAATAATGATAGATGGCTAAGCCTTTTTAAAGGTACCAGGAACTCTTGAGAAGCTATTAGAAAAGTAGAGAAGGTCACTGAATCTGAGGATTGTACCAAGAGCTCTTTGAATGGTGATCATGGTGGTAGTTTACAGTGAACTGTCTCCACCATCACTTTGTGCCTTGGGCCTAGAGATGCTGACTGCTTGCTTTGAACTGATGAAGTTTTTTACAGTGAACAGTGAACCAGGCCCAGAAGTATTCACCAGTGATCTGGGAGAAAGGCAACGAAGAAGGGAATGGAAGAAGAGTGGTATGAAATGCTTTGGAGGCAAATTTCATGAACATAGGTTCCCAAACATTAAAGAGGTAGTAAGAGTAATAAAAAGAATTGAAAAAGAACACACAAAAGAAGGAATAGATGAAACTAATATTACACTGATGTTAACTGGAATTTAAATAAAGACTAAAAACTATAAAGATAACATTTTTCAAACTGTATGACAGACACCACAACCCCCTCAAAAAAAACCTGGTACTTATTAAAGTACTCTTAAAACTCATTTATGCATCGCCAGAGCTTAAACATTATGGTTCTGCGATAGAGTAAAGGAAACTGAAAGTATTAAAATACTATGATTGACCATAGTACATATTGCTGTACTAGTTTTACAGGAATTCTTGTAGGAGATATAACCATTTTCCATATTTGGTTTGATTTTAGGTGAGCCATTTGACTTGATGTCACGAAGAATAATTGCTGCAAATAGTAAAACATTAGCAGAAAGAATAGCCAAAGAAATTCAAGTAGTACCGTTTCAAAGAGATGATGAAGATTAACTGCAACAGCCTCGCGTATTCAGTCACGGTTCCATCGCCCCTGTATTTGCTGACACACTGATGATGTTATAAAATTTAGGACGTTTATTTCAGATGTATAATATGATTGGCTTAAGTTGTCTTTGATATCCAGATTAAAAAATTTCAGTTTGTTGTATATTTTACTAAGACTAGGTATGCGAGAATACATGAAATGTTGCATTGTTTTAACAAACTTTGCTTGTGAGAGTGCACTTTGGGAAAGATATACAGGTAGTTGATAAGACAAAGTATCATTGACTGAAATAGCAGTTTAGAGTTTCTAAGTATATATGAGCCTCTGAAATTCTGACTGTGTACATAAGCATTCTTAACTACAAAGTTAACTTTTTGGAAAAAATTTTCTTTAGTTCCCAAAGCCATATTTAATTAAATTTGTAAGAATTAATGGGTCCTTCCTAGACCAAGGTTTTTTTTCTTTGCAGAGAACCTTGTTTTATTCATCAGTGTACACGTAGCACCTAGCAGAGTATTTGTTAAACATGGGCAGTCTAAAAATAAGCATTCAAAAGATATTTTGAAGGTAGCAATTCCTAGTTATACATAAAGCAATGAGCTCACCCTTTATTTTTACTTCAGGTGTTAAAGATGATCTCATCCTTTTCATATTTTACGGTATCATTCCTTTTAACTCTTCACATTGCCATATCATTTCAATTCCTGTACCATCAGGTATCCTTTCTACTTGTGGGCATTTCTGCAGTTAATGTTTTCCAAGACACTACAGTATTTGTTTGGAATCTTTTAAAGTCCCAATGTTTAAAAAAAAAAGTTTCAAAACATTATCAGGCATCTAATTTAAATTCTATAGTTAGAGTATAAAATTGTACTAAATTCAGGGGCTCCTGGGTGACTCAGTTGGTTAAGTGTCCAACCTCGGCTCAGGTCGTGATCTCACGGTTCGTGGGTTCGAGCCCCGCAGCGGGCTCTGTGCTGACAGCTCAGAGCCTAGAGCCTGCTACAGATTCTGTGTCTCCCTCATGCACTCTCTCAAAAACAACCAAACATTTTAAAAAACTGTACTAAATTCAATATTAATGTTTGAAAGTTGTTCCTACTGATCTTGTTGCACACAGGAGACCTACAATCTGGCAGGTAAACTGTATTATTAATTGGTGTTTTTTTCCCCAAACTCCTTAATTTTGTTGCCACTGGCTTCTATTCAGTCTTTAAATATTCCTTACTAGTCTTTGTCTTAGGAAACTCAAAGAAAATTGTTCTGGTTCATAAACATTTTAAATAAGGTCAATTGACTGCTTAGCCTTGTCCTTTGACACTTGAATAGACTATTAATTTTTGTTAGTCTCATGTGAACCTGGTATTTGATAAAAGAAAAAGTACATTTATAAAGTTTAAGGTAGGGGATTATTGTGCACTTCATTATACTAAGATTTGAGTATTGTAATTATTTACTGTTGGTCATGTGCAGTAAAAATATACTGTATTCTGTAGTTAATTTTGCAATTAAATTTAAGATTCATAAAATTTTAAGTATAACTGAACATTGTTAAAGTTTATAGTTTATGTTTGAGATTTGTGTTGAGTTGTGAATGTTGACACTTGCAGTTGTGGCTGAATATATGTTCTTGGGTTTTTTTTTTGTCTACAGTTTTCTCAACTTTTCTAAAAGTCTTTTAGAATAATTTTCCAAAAAGTAGCTTTTTTCCCCCTAAATGCAATTAATTAGATAATTGGTGGCTGAAATTTCTTTAGACATTGAAAAAAAGAGGTTTGACAAGTGAGTTATCTGCCAATAGTTTGTAAACCTTCTAGCAGTTCCTTCTAGTATTTACCTTCATCATTTTAAAGGTATATTAAAGGATATTTAAAGGATATATTTAAAGGCTATATTCTGCTATATATTTGACTTTATTCATTATTTAAACTTGCTGTTATGGAAGATGGGGATTTTGTACTTCTAACTCCCCCTTGAGCTACCTTTACATCCTCCTTTTCATCCTCTTATAGTAATTACTAATTTACTTAATATAATCTTTGTTATTAAGTTTATATTCAGTGTTCAAGGACTTTCACTGATTAACCAACTAGTATGTTATAATTATATCTTCTTACCTGTGTAAATTTTGTTCTTCCTGAGATTAACACATCGTCCCCAAGATTATAAAACCTCTTTATTAACTGCTTTCTTTTCCTCCTATAGATACATCTTTTGGGGCCCTTTTCCATCTCTTCCAGTCTGAATTGGTTACTAAGTGTGTTCATAGTAGTCCTCCTGGGGCTTCTCTTTGCTTCTCTTATGTTCAGTCATCTGTGTCCTTGATTTTTTTTTTGTGGCAGTCCCTTATTTTGCTGAGCCCATCTTCCAGGGGCTTTCTCTGAAAATGCACTTGAGAGGGAAAGTTTTGAAATCTCACAAGAAAATGTCTATTCCTTCATTGATAGTTTGGCTAGGTCTAGAATGCTAGGTTGAAAACAGTTTTCCCTCAGAATTTGCCTCGCTTTTGTTCAAAATTATTGAACAGTCTTTGAATTTGCAATCCATTAACAAGTAGTCCTTTTCTTTAAGTATATTTATTTTGAGAGTGTATGAGCAGGGGAGGGGTGGAGAGAGAGAATCCCAATGAGGGGCTCCATCTCACTAATTGTGAGATCATGACCTGAAACCAAGAGGCAGGTGCTTAACTGAGCCAACCAGGTGCCCCACAAGTCTTTTTTATTGAAGATCTTAGAAAACTCCAGAAATCGAAAGAAAATCCTGAATTTCCTGGTGATAAGATTTGTCTTTTTTTTTTCTTCCCCCCATCCATTGTGCTAATTATTCACATCCTTTCATTCTGGAAAGTTTAAGTCCTTTACTGTTTGGCTGCTTTAATACTTTCCTCTCTTCCTCATACTCTGTCCTCTTTTTCTGGAATTTCTCATATTTAGGTATTGGACCTCCTATGTTCATTGTCTTCTCTAACTTCTTTGCTTTTGTTTCCAAAGGATTTCCTTATCTTCCAGTCCTTCTATTAGCTTTTTTTTTTTTAATGTTACTCTATCCCTTTATTCTCTATATTGTCCCTTTCAAGTTCCTCTGTTTTCAGGGTTGTTTTTTTTTTTTTTTTGTTATGAAAATATTAAAATTTGTGGGTTGCATGTCAAGCACTGCTGATAGGGAAATCTATAGTCAAATACAAGGCAAGAAAACAGTATAAGGATTGAGTGGAGAAATAAAATTAATTCACAGTCAATGGGATGGAAGATCCTTTTGGATTTTCTAAGTAGACAAAACTTTCTAATTAGTGGTTTTGGTGGTGTTACTAGAGGTAAGGTCAATGTAAAATCAATGTAAGGTAATCCTATGTATAAGCCACACCTAAGATAATATTTAATGAAATACATAATATTTTAAAAACTATCAGCTACCTAGGAATTAGTCTCATTAGACTAATGAAAGATGTGCAAGAGCTCTACACAGAAAAAATTACTGAGAAATTTCTGAACTCTGAATAGAGTAATAATACACATTGGTTTGAACACTAGTTTTTAGATATTCTTGTTAAATTGATGTAGATTCAGTGAAATCGACCCAAATCCTAATATTTTGGTGAGGACATAAAGGTGGGAGGGTTAACAACTTACATGGAAATATAGAGAGCCAAAAATAGCAAAGACCATCTTAAAGCATGATAGTGAAGTTAGAAGACTACACCACTAGGTATCAAAACTTGTTACAGAGCTACTGTAATTAGTGATATTAGCACAAGGATAGACAAATAGGAAATGGAATAGTGTTCAGAAATAGACTCAAACACAAACTAGATAGCTCTATGATAATTGTCAATGTAGTACAGGAAGGAAAGGATGATCTTTTCAGTAAGTGTATGGAATCAATATGAGCATCCAAAGGGGGAAAAAGCTTGATCACATGCACAAAAATCATAAATATGAAAAATAAAGCTTCTTAGAAGATAGAATATTTTCCTGTCCTTGGTAAGTAATGATTTGGTAAACAGGACACACAACATTAGCCATACAGGAAGATTGATTAATTGGGCCACATTAGGAACTTTTATCATCTAAACATACTAGTAGATTCAGAGGGCAACCTCCAAAGTTTTCAATAATATGTCTGACAGATTCTTTCCAGATTATATAAATAACTCCTACTTATCAATGAAAAAGTGTAATTGGGACTCTGGTACAAGATAGCTATATAGGAAGACCTTGAACTCCCCTCTTCCACATACCATATCTATACCTATATGTAAACCAATTCCTCGTGAAGAACTGAGGGCTGACTAAACAGCTTCTGCACAACAAAAGATAGACCACCTAGAGAATGGCAAGAGAGAGACACGGTAATGAAGGGACCCTAACCCCACCCCCGCCCCCCGCCTCCACCCCCAGGCACACACTGAGGTGGGGAGGGATAGTACTGAGGGACTATGAGCAGGTTTTCTGCCGGGGCGGGCAGAAAATAAACAACAATGGTTTAAAAGAGCAACTAGAATAGAACTAGCCCTAGAATCCTGCCAGATACCAGGGTTGCTACTAGAACTCTCCAGGTCAAAGGGGCTGGTGAGCACCATGATTCATCTTCTCCTTTTACCTTGATAGGATGGAGGAGAAGCAATATCTAGGTGCCAGAGCTGGCCTACTCCCTCATGTGCTCCTAGTCCCCAGCCTGTACCAGCCCTAGGTGTCCCACCAATGTGTGTACCAGCAGGATACACACTGGGACACCCCTGGTAAGTGCTTATAGCTCTGGCTGCTAGACCAAGGTGCAACAGGCACAAGCTACCCCAGAACTCTCTAGAGACCACTTTGACTCTAAGTGGCCTCCTAGGGCATCTCTGGCACAGTACTTTGGGACTTCCTTGCTCACCTCTGCTTCAGCCACCCCACCAAGTAGTCCCTTACACACCTGATTGGCACTGGCCTTGGCTCCACTCTGCCTGGGCATCCTCTTGTGCTGAGCGCACTCTGGCTGGCACCCACTTCAGCTTCAGCTGTATTCCCAGGGTCCCCCCCCCCCACACACAGTATGGAGTGCCCCAGGACCCTCCAGTCTATGCCCCCCTCAGTTTCAGCTAACCCACTAGGGTACCCCTGTGGTACGTGCCAAGAACTTCCTGTCCTGGGCCTCACCTTGGCTCCAACTGACCTGCCAGGGTGCCCTGTGTGTGGAGAACCCTGGGAAAACCTGGGTTGCACCCACTTCAGCTATCCTGCCAGACTGTCTTCTACACAGAGAACCCAGAGAGTGCCCCATCCCATGCCCACCTTAGCTTTAGCTGTCCTACAAGAGCACTCCCTATGCAGAGAGCCCCAGAATCGCCCCAGTTCATGCCCACTTAAGCTCTGGCCATCCCACCAGGGCAGTGCCAGCAGAGTATGCAGGGACCCCTATGCCAGTCACAGCTCTAGCCAGCCAGCCAAAGTTACCAGGCACACAATATGCACAGGGGATGACCATACACAAGACCATTCCTTCAAGTTTAGGAGAAATAGCTATGTTTCATAGAAACAAACACAGTCAAGCAAAATGGGGAGACAGGAGAATATGCTCCAAATGAAAGAACAAGATAACCTCCCGCAGAAAATTAAAAAAAAAATTGTTTTATTTATTCTTGAGAGAGCGAGAGCATGAGTAGGGGAGGAACAGAGAGGGGACACAGAATCTGAAGGAGGCTCCAGGCTCTGAGCTGTCAGCACAAGCACAGAGCCTGACACGGGCTTGAACTCACAAGCTGTGACATCATGACCTGAGCCCAAGTCGAAAGCTTTACTGACTGAGCCATCCAGGCACCCCAAGCCCCCCTCCCCCAGAAAACTAAATGAAACAAGGATAAACAATATGCCTGCTCAGAGTTAAAATAATGATTTTAAAGATGCTCACAAGATTGGAAAAGAATGTAAGAACAATGTGAGAACTTCAACAAAGAGATAAAAAAAATATAAGAACCAGGGTTGAAGAATACAATAATTGAAAAATACACTAAAGGGAATCAACAGATTAGTGGATGCAGAAGAGTGGAACATCAATTTGGAAGACAGGGTAATGGAAAGCACCAAAGCTGAACAGCAAAAAGAAAAAGGTCTAAAAACTGAGATTAGGTTAAGGGAGCTTTTGGACAACATCAACTGAACATTTACATTTTGGGGTCCCAGAAGGAAAAAAGAGAGAGAAAGGGGCAGAAAACTTATTTGAAAGAAATAATGGCTGAAAACTTCCCTAACCTAGGAAAGGAAATAGATATCCAGTTCAGGAAGCACAAAGAGTTCCAAACAAGATGAGCCCTAGGAGGTCCACACCACAAACATAATAGTTAAAATAGCAAAGGTTAAAGGCAAACCAAGAATTTTTAGAGCATCAAGAGAGAGGCAAAAATGTATAGACAGGGAAATTCCATAAGGCTATCAGGATATTTTTAAGCAGAAATTTTACAGACCAGAAGGGAGTGGCATGATATATTCAAATTGCTGAAAGGAAAAAAACCTACAACCTTCTACCTGGAAGCTTATTCAGAATTGAAAGAAAGATAAGTTTCACAAATAAAGGTTAAAGGAATTCATCACCACTAAATAAGTCTTATAAGATGTTAGAGGGAATTCTTCAAGTGGAAAAGAAAAGGCCATAATTAAAAGAAAATTATGAACAAAAAGATACAAAATATGAAAACATATATACATAAAATGTGGAGGAGGGAGGAAAAAGTTCTTTTAGAATAAGTTCAAACTTAAATGACCATCAACTTAATATAGACTGCTGTATACTTAGGATCCCATATATGAACCTCATTGTAACCACAAACCCAAAACCTATAGTAGGTACACAAAAGGTAAAGTGAAAGAAAGCCAAACAAAACACTATAGAAAGTTATCAATTACAAGGAAGGAAA